TGTGGCCATTGACTCTACCATAGCTTGGGTTTAGCACACCTTAGTCTTGAGAGATTTAACTAATGCAATATATCACTTGATATCTTGACTGCTGTTTCCATGAGCATTGATTGTCAATTCAAGCAAATTGAAGTCTTTGTTGACTTCAGTCTTTTCTCCATTTATCGTGATGTCATTTATTGGTCCAATTATGGAAAGTGTCATTTTCCTTATACTGAACCACAATCCATACTGAAGGCTACAATCTTTTATCCTCATCAATATTTCATGTCCTCTTCACTTTCAGCAAGGAAGGTTGTGTCATTAGCTTAATGCTATTTTTTGATGACTCTTCCTCCTATCCTGATACCAAATTCTTCTTCATAAAATCCAGCTTCTCAGATTATTTGTTATGCATGCAAATTGAATAAATATAGTAAAAGGATACAACCCTGACACACCTTTCCTGATTTTAATCATTCTGTATCCCTTTGTTCTGTTATAATGACTGCCTCTTGATATGTGGACACAGATTCCTCATGAGTACAATTAAGTGTTCTGGAATATTCATTCTTCATAATGCTATCCATAGTGTGTTATGATCCACACAGTTGGATACCTATGCATAGTCAATAAACCACAGTATACATTTTTCTAGTTTTCTCTTCTTTCAACTAAGATCTATATGAGGTCAGTAATGACATTCTTCATTATACATCCTCTTCTAAATCCAGCTTCAATGTCTGTTAGCTCTCTGTATTCATTCTTTAATTATCTTCATCAAAATTTTAACTGCACATGATATTAATGATATCATTTGATGATTTCTGCATTCTGTTGGCAGACCTTTCTCTGGAACAGCTACATATATGGATTTCATTAAATCAGTTGGCCAAGTAATTATCCTTCAAATTTCTTAACATAGATGAGTGAGTGCCTCCTGTGCTATATAAATTTATTGCAACATTTCCATTTGTATTCTGTCCGTTTCTAGAGCCTTGTTTTTCACTAATGTCATCATTGTAGCTTGGACTTCTTCCTTTAGTTCTATCTGTTCTTCATCATATGCTACCTGTTGAAATAACTGAACAGCGATCATTTCTCTTTAGTACAGTGATTCTAAATCCTTCCAGCTTCCTTGGAGGTTTTCTGCATCATTCAATATTTTACCCAAAGAATCCTCCAATATTTCAAGTTAAGGCTTGAATTTTTAATTCACTTGTCTCAGCTTGAAAAATGCTGAGGGTGTTCTTCACTTTGGGTTTTCAAATAGCAGATCTTTGCATTGGGGTATCTGACTTTATCTCTGGAGCTGCCCTGGGAAAATCTGGTTTGGCATTTCTATTTCCTCAGTTCTTCCTGTTGCTTTAGCTTCTACAAGTTGTTTTTTGTTGTTAAGTGGCAGTGAGTCAGTTTTGACTCATAGCAACCCTTTAGAGGTTTCCCGAGGAACAGCTGGTAGGCTGCAATCACCCACCTTGTGATTAGTAGTCCAGTGCTTATCCTACAGCACCACACCAGCAGTCCTAGCTTCTCTATAATCAAAAGCAAGTTTCAAAGTCTCTTCTGACACCCACTGTGGTCATCTCTTTCTTTTCCTGTGCTTTTAATGACTTTTTGCTTTCTTCATCCATGATGTTCTTGATGGCATCCCACCACACTTCCAGTCTTCAGTCATTAGCATCTACAGAATCAAATCTGTCCTTGAGATGGCCTCTAAATTCAAGTGGGATATATTCAGTGTCATATTTTGGCAATAGTGAAGTTGTTTTAATTTTCTTCAGGTTCAGCCTGAACTTGCATTTGAACAGTTGATAGTCTGTTCCACAATCTGCCTCTGATAAAGTCCAAGTATATAGTAACCTTTTATGTGCTGTAAAAAGGTATTTGCAATGAATGGGACCTTGGTCTTCCAGAACTCTATCATAAAATCTCTTGCAGTATTTTGTATCACCAGGGTAACATTTTCCAACTATAGTCCCTTCCTCCTTTTTGGTTCCAATGCTTACATTCCAAACACCAGTAATTACCAGGGCATCTTGATTGCATGTGTGATCAATTTCAGACTGAAGAAGTTGGTAGAATTCCTCAGTTCCATCATTCATTGACTTAGTGGTTGATGCATAAACATGAATTATAGTGGTATTCACTGGTATTCCTTGCGTGGCACTCTAGGATAAGCAATGAACTGCTAACCACAAGGTCAGCAGTTCAAACCCACCAGCTGCTTATCAGAAACCTTATACAGGGTACCTATGACTCTGAATTGACTCAACTACATTTAACAAAATAATAACTCGTTTTCTTTGTAGACATGTAGATATTATCCTATCACAAACCTCATTGTACTTCAACATGAATCTAGAAATATTCTTTCTGATGAGGAATGTGATAGTTTTCTGCTTTAATTTGCTGTTCTCATCATATTAAGCCTTAAGACTGTCTGATTCAAAATGGCCGATACCAGTCCATTTTAGCTCACATGTAAGGAGCTCTGGTAGCGTACTGGTTACGAATCGGGCTGCGAACCTTAAGGTCAGCGGTTCGAAACTACCAGCCGCTCCGCAGGAGAAAGATGAGGCTTTCTACTCCCATAAAGATTTATACCCTTGGAAACCCTGTACAGGGTCGCTATGGGTCGGAACCGACTCGACGGCACTTAACAACAACAACATCAATCTATGTGTTTCAATTCGGTTTTGAAAACTTCCCATTTTATAGATTCATACTTTGGACACTGCATGTTCTGATAATTAATGGATGTCTGCAGCTGTTCCTTCTCATTTTGCATTGTGCCACATCAGCAACTGAAGGTTCGGAAAGTTCTACTACATCCACATCATTAAGGTCCTTTCTACTTTGAGAAGGTTGCTGTTGCCCAGTCATATTGTGGATGCCTTCCAAACTGAGGAGTGTATCTTCTGGTTTTCTATGAGACAGTGCGCCTCGGCTATTCATGGGTTTTCTGTGGCTAACCTACTAAACAGCCTACCTCTCCCTCCTATGTTGTCTCATTCTTGAAGATCAGCTGAATACAGTCTACTATGGATGGCTGCTTGTATTTAAATATTGGTAGCCTAGCTTCCGGCATCACAGCAACATACAAGCCACCACAGTATGACAAACTGGCATATGAGTGTCAGATACAATGTCAGAACAAATCACACAGAAATAATGGGAGAACTAATAGTATCATAAAAACTACTATGTGTGTTCACCTCTCGCAAAATCAATTCTAAATTAACAAGGGAGATGAAAATCAACTATAGTCAAATTTACTCCTAAACATTCTTGTGAAAGCAGCTGTAGAGGGCCTGTAATTATTTTTCAATGAGGAAAACCAAGAATGTCTTACAATGTCTTGAATCTTTACTCTGAAGTATATATCATATATAGTATAAAGTACTGAATGTCCATACTAGCTATTTCATGAAATAAAAATAAAAGAAAACAGGGTTTGGGGCTTAGGGGACATTAAGCTTCTGTTCTAGGTGATGGGAAAATTCAGGACCAGGTAACAGTAAAGGCTGAACAACATACCATTGAATTGTGCAAGTGAAGTTAGCTGAGATGGGAAATGCTGCTGTCTGTATTTTCACCATAATTAACAATTTTTTAAAGGAGGGTTTCATTATCTGCATTTAATGCAATGTGGCTAGAAGTGAATGATTACATTTCTCTTTTTTCTTTGATTTCTTGGATCACACACACTAAGGAATAATTGGAAATAGAGAAAACATATTACACAAA